TTGAGTCTATCCCACTTAAATTTAAAAAAGGAAATACAGAGTCAACTGTATCAAAAAGAATTGACTTATGCAGATTCCAAGAAGTAGCATATGATCAAGAACCAATGAAGGAAGACATTTAAACTTCACTTGAAGTCATTGGCAAAAAATAAGACCCAAAAATTAATGAGATACCAATGGACATATTTCAGCAGAGGTAGCCCTGGATGTGCTGACCAAGTAAGTCTATGCTAAGAAATTGAGAAAAAAGCTACTTAAACATCTAAGCAGATGTTATTGTTGTTAGGTACCCTCAAGCTGAGCACAACTCGTAGCAACCCTATGAACAAAAGATCTGAACTCTGTTGTATTCTACACCATCTTCACACTTCCTGACATACAAGAGCCTATTGCAGCAGTCACCGTATCAATCCACCTGGTTGAGGGTCTTCCTCTCCTTTGTTGACCTTCCACCCTTCCCAACATCATGTCCTTCTCCAAGGAATAGCACCTCCCAGCAATATGTCCAAAGTATATGAGGCAAAGCCTTATCATTCTTGCCTTCAAAGAGCAGTCTGGCTGCACCCTCTCCAAGACACATCTGTTCTTTTTCTTAACCATCCGTGGAATGTCCAGTGCTCTTTTCCAAGCCCACAGCTCAGAGGTGTCAGGGTTTTTTCTGTCATCCTTATTCATCCAGGTCTTGGATGCATAGCTAGTAATTGGAAAAGCTATGGCCTAAATCAGATGCACCTTAGTCCTCAAACTGACATCACCACTCCTCAGTACTTGGGAAAGGTCTCTACCTCCAGATTTTTCCAGTGCAATATGTCTCCTTATTTCCTGACTGCTGGTACCAAGGGTGTTAATTGTGAATCTAAGCAAAATAAAGATGTTGACAATTTCAGCCTCCTCTCCATCCATCATGACACTACCTATTGGTCCAGTAGTAACAATCTTTGTTTTCCTCACACTGAGATGTAATACATACCGAAGGCTGCATTCCCTGATCTTCTGCAACAAATACTTCAAGTCCTCCTCATTTTCAGTAAGTAAGGTTGTATCATCTGCAAAATGCAGCCTATTAATGAGTCTCCTCCAATCCTGATATCACACTCCTCCTCATAGAGTCTAGCTTAATTTGCTCAGCATACAGATGGAATAGTTATGGAGAAAGAATAAAACCTTAACATACTCCCTTCCCAATTCCAAACCATGCTGTTCTCCCCTGCTCCGTTTACACAACAGCCTCCTGATCCAGGTATAGATTCTGCATGAGCACAATCAAGTGCTCTGAGATTCCCATTCTTCTCAATGTCAAGGACAACTTGTCATAATTCATATAGTCAAACGTCTTTGCCTCGTCAATAAAGCACAAATAGACATTCTTCTGGTATTCCTTACTTTTGGCCAGGATCCATCTGACATCAGCGTGATATCTCTGGTGCCATGTCTTGGACGTGGTGCAGCCAGAGTGCTCTTTGGAGGCAAGAATGAATGATGTGGCTTCGCCTCACATACCTCAGGCATATTGCTAGAAGAGTCTCTTCCTTGGAGAGGGACATGATGCTTGGAAGAGAGGAGGATTGATGAAGGAAAGGAATACCCTCAACCAGGTATATTGGCAAGGTGACTGCTGCAGTGGGCTTTAGCGTGTCAAAAAGTATGAAGATGGCGCAGTATATGTTCTTAGGGTCACTATGAGTTGTACTCAACTAGATAGCACCTAATAATAACAGTGTTGAGATGGAATCCATATTGAGTACAAACATTAGCATTTTGTTATTCCAGAATATTTTCATCTCCCCAAAGAGAAGCATAACTCTTAGCAGTCCTTTCCAGTTCCCTTTCCCCTCCCCTGAATGAGTCCCCTGGCAGCTACTAATCTGCTTTCTATCTATAAATAGGCATTTGCCTATTCAGACATTTTGTATGAATGGAAGCATGCGATATGTCACTTTTTGTGTCTGGCTTCATTAACTTAGCATAATATTTTCAAAATTTACCCATGTGGTCATGTGAATCTGTATTTCATCCCTTTTTATGGCTAAATAATATTTCTGTGTTTGCACATACACATGTGGTGGTGGTGTTATGTGCCATCGAGTCGCTTGCGACTCATAGTGACCCTATGTACAAGAGCCCTAAATGCCATTCTATTTTGTGCCAACCTCGCCCTCTCAAACACACCCATTCCCACCACTCCACTCACAGAATTGATCCATCTCATCAAGGGTCTTCCTCTCCTGTGCTGTCACTCCACTCTCCCAAGCATGACATCCCTCTCCAAGAACCAGTCCCTCCTTGCACCATGCCCAAAGTATGTCAGACGAAGCTTCAGAATCCTTGACTCCAAGGAGCATTCTGGCTTCACCCTCTCCAGGACAACCCTGCTTGTTCTCCTAGCAGTCCATGGTATATTCAACACTGTTCTCCAGCACCACAGCTCAAAGGCATCAATTATCTTTCTATCATCCCTATTCACAGTCCAACTCTCTGATGCATAGCACGTAATTGCAATGCCTACAGCCTGGATCAGGTGTACCTTAGTCTCCAGCCTGATGTCGTTGCTCTTCAGTACTCTTGAGAGGTCCCTGACAGCTGACTTTCCCAATGCAATTCATCTCCTGATTTCCTGGCTGCTGTTTCCAAGAGTGTTGACTGTTGAACCAAGTAAACTAAAACTGTTAACTATCTCAATCGCTTCACCATCCATACTGATGCTGTCAATTGGCCCAGTGGTGAGAATCTTTGTTTTCTTGATGTTGAACTTCAATCCATATGGAAGACTGCAGTCCTTGACCTTCTGCAGCAAGTGCTTAAGGTCCTCCTCAGTTTCAGCAAGCAGGGTTGTGTTATCTGCATAACGCAGGTTGTTGATGATTCTTCCACCAATCCTGATGCTACATTCCTCCTCGTACAGCCCAGAGTCTAGGATGATCTGTTCTGCATAAAGATTGAAAAGGTATGGAGACAAAATACATCCCTGACGGACCCCTTTCTTGATTTTGAACCATCCAGTGTCTCCCTGCTCTGTTCTGATGACTGCGTCTTGGTCCAAGTATAAGTTTCGCATCAGCACAATCTGATGTTCTGGGGTTTCCATTCTTCTCAAAGTCAGCCATAGCTTGTTGTGATCCACACAGTCAAAAGCCTTTGCATAGTCAATGAAGCACAGATAGAACTTCTTCTGGTATACACATACATTATATATATATATATATATATATAATGTTCAGTGACTGGGATAATTGGGATGGGAGTGTCAGAGACAGTGCAATTGGCACAGGACAGAGCGGAGTTTAGGGCTGTTGTACATAGGGTCGCTACGAGTCGCAAGCGACTCGACGGCACATAACAACAACATATATATATATATATATACACATACATACATACACACATATGTCTAGGTCACATTTCATTTATTTGTTCATAAGTGGTAGACAAATTAGATTATTGTTAGCATTTATGTACAATTTTTTATTCTTTTCCATCATATGTATAACCTTTGACATTTAATATAGTTTAGTATTTGTGGTTCTGAAAGGAGCAATGTCTTGGTCTCATGACTGTATTCCAAGACCAAACATTCTGAGAGTGAGACCTAAATGGCAACTATGTTGCCTTTTATTATCTAATGTTAGAATTCATGAAATGTCACTTCTGCCACAGTCTTGTCACACATACAGCCCATACCCAGGTAAAGGGAACTTGACTCCACCTGTTGGTGAAAAGAGTGGCTAAGAATTTGCAGACGTGTTTTAAAACCACCAATCCTTCCCTCAAGTGCTGTGTCTTCTCCAAATTCTGCATGCTTTTGGTCATTCTTGTTATCACTGTCATTGAGTCAGAATCAGCAAGGGCTATAAATTGCACAAAGGGAAATTGACCATTTCCTGGTGGATTGAAGCCACCAAAAAGGATCTTTTGTATTAACAGGGCAGCTCATAGCGTAGGCCACCAGAAATCTCTTTGTTATTGTTGTTTTTGTTAGGTGGAGTTGAGTATGGCTCTTAGTGACCCTATGAACAACACATCTGACCCTGTCCTATCCTGTACCATCTCATAATCTCTGAGACACTGGAGCCCATTGATGGAGTTACTGTGTCAGTCCATCTCATTGAGAGTCATCTTCCCTTTCACTGATCCTCCAACTTTCCAAGTATGATATTCCTTTCCAAGGAATAGCCTCTCCTAGCAAAATGCCCAAAGTATGTAAGATAAAACATCGCTATCCTTGCCTCCAAGGAGCATGCCTATCTCCAGTACCTTCAAATCTTTTTTGTTATTATTTTAGTGAATCTACAGTTTATATTATTATCTGAGCTCATGCAGGCTGCTCTTTCATTACCAGAAGTGAAACTTCTTTCCCTTCATCATACTTACTGTTTTAAACACACTTAATATTATCCACTTATTTATTTGGTTATATTTTTTTGTCCCTAAAAGTCTAACTCCATTCAATCAGAATTCTTTGTTTCTTTGGTAACCTTTGTATTCCTAGAATACCACTTGACAGATAGTAGAAAGGCAACAGATAATTGTTGAATGAGTGTTTAAATCACCAACTCTTCAAAATATCCGCTAACAAATAAAGCTCTTGATAGAATGAAGAGCTGCAATAATAGAAACTTGTTCTTTCAACATGGCCCCACTGGTAGAGTGGCATAGCTGACCTTTGCTTTTTCGTGACTTACACAGCAAGACTTTGCAATTCTGATGTTTCATTCTTATCATGATTATGATTGGGGTCAGTTAGCAGAGTAGATAAACTGGTTAGACCAGATAAAATAACATGTGAAAGTACTTTATGAACTATAAAGTAAAATTATAAGATACATGCATTTGTATCCTTTAGGCTGATTTTTTTCATTATTTCATTTTGAGAGTATCTCTCTGTGTGTGTTTTAACAAATGAGTGTTGTGAATGATAGAAATAATTAAGAAAAACTCAGTATGTTTATAATAAAGTCTTTATGATGTTCTTGTTGATGTTTTGTCTCACTATTCTTTTGTAGGAACTTAAGAGATTCCAGGATTTTGTGAAGCACTCTGCTCCTTTTGATATTGTGATTGATGGGCTCAATGTTGCCAAAATGTTTCCTAAAGCTCGTGAATCTCAAGTTGTAAGTATAGTTTTTATGTTGCTATTCCAGATCTCTAAAAGTATTTCTTGTTCCCGTTTGTGATTATCCTTGGAGCTTGTAACTTCTTTTTTATCTCACTGACTCTTAAAGGCTGGAAAAGGAAAAGAAAAAAAAAGAAAGAGAGGGAGAGAGAGGTTAAAAGAAAACCATTAGGAGGGACGGGTTCTCTTTTTCTGTTTATAACTTTTTGCTTTCCTATTTTCCTTTGAGCCACATTATTTGAAAATTACCAAAGTGAATAATCAAGAAATATTAATTACTCATTCATTAGTCAAAATTATTTGACAAACAATGTCTTGATAAACTTGTCTAAACCATTTTCTCCCTAAAGTGATGATGTGTTTTATCAATTTCTAACTGTCCTATTTAGTTTCTAATCAGCTTAGAAATTGGAGGCTATTCTCTGTAGTAAATCTATTTAGAAATCTGTGTAGAATGCTGTTGTTGTGTGCTGTCGAGGTAGAGCTGGCCCTCCTGCAAGTTTTCAGACGTGGCAGGGTATTGCCCATCTTTATTCCATGGAGCACCTCATGGAATTGAACTGCATGTCTTTGGAACTGCAGCTTTGTTTCTTACCATTAGGTCACCAGAGCTTCCTAGAAAGCTTCTGGAGCATAAAAATGAGATTGCAGAGAACTTGGTTTAAGGATCATGGCCCTATCATTGGCATTCAGTGGCTGTTCATCTATAATTAAACTATTATTTCTTAAAAATTGCCAACAGGAAAACTTTTTCCGAGATGGTGCTAGTTCATTTTGGCCATATATGCTGAGAAAAACTTACAATACTGACAAAAGACAAGTTCATCTTAAGGAATTTTTATGTTCCTTTCTTTCATGCTTATGCCTGCATGTTTTAATCATTAAGTATATATTTTAATCCTTTGTTATCTCTTATATTCTTGAAGTAGCCTTTGACACAGATACATATTTTTATAGGTATACTTTATTATTTTTATATATATAATTACATAATACACATGTATCTCTGTGTGTTTGTGTGAGTGTGTGTGTAGTGAATGTGTAATCTGTTGACATAGTGTGTAATAGATTGCACTGCTAACCAAAAGGTCTGTGATTTTAATCCACCAGCTGTTCTATGGGATAAAGATGGATAGTCTTCTCCTACTAAGATTTACAGTCTCTGAAATTCAATGGAGGCTTGCTTTGAGTCAGAACTGACTGGACAGTAGTATATTTATGTGTGTATATATACATAATTTAAATTTTTTATTTTATTGTGGTTTTAGTGATTGAGATTTCCATTCAGCTAGCTCTACATGAAGTGTTCAGTGCCATTTTGGTAACTTTTTCACAATGCATACCATGCATATTATTTCTGTTCTGATTGTCATATTTCTGTTAAGTTAGTTTCCATAACCAAACTCCAGGAACTGATTGCCAAAGTAGTATGTAGAACATTATATTTATGAGCAATGTTATGCCAATTGACTTAACTATCCCCCAGATCTATGATGCTTATGACTTATATGTATGTTTTAAATATATGAATATGTGTGTAGCATATACAAATATGTATGTAGAAATATCCACAACTATCCCTATATACCTACCTATGGGGTGGGGGGTTTCTGAAGTCCCCTTCTGCTGGCCCATCTCTTCCCTTGTAAAAATTCCTATCCTGTGCCTTCTGTGTGTACATATGTGAAAAGAACCACTGAAGAAGCTCAATATCAGCTGTGAAAACTAGGCCAGGTGCTGATTATGGAACAGACCACCAACTACTCATAAGCAAGTTCAAGCTGAAGCTAAGAAAAACTAAATCAAATCCACAGGGACCAAAATATGACTTTGAGTCTATCCCACCTGAATTTCAGAACCATCTCAGAACAGGTTTGAGGCCTTGAACACCTATGAGCGAAGACCAGATGAGTTGTGAGAGGATATCAAGAGTATCATCCAGGAAGAATGCAAAAGGTCGTTACAAAGACAGAGGAGGAAGACCAAAATGGATGTTAGAAGAAACTCTGAATATTGCACTGAGGTGCCGAGAAGCCAAAGCAGAGGGAAGAATTCCAGATAATAAAGAGCCAGACAGAAGATTTCAAAAGGCAGTGCAGGAAGACAGAGTAAAATATTACAATGAAATGTGCAAAGAGCTAGAGTTAGAAAATCAAAAGGGCCAAACTCACTCAGCATTTCTTAAGCTCATAGAACTGAAGAACAAATTCAAACCTTGAGTTGCTATAATTAAGGATGCTTCAGGCAGAATATTAAATGATTCAGGAAATAAAAGAAGATGGAGAGAATATACAGAGTCACTCTACCGAAAGGAATTGGCAGACACAGAAGAATTTCATGAAACAACATATGAGCAAAAGTCTGTAGTGATGAAGAAGTTCAAACTACTTTGATGGAATTAGCAAAAAATAAGGCCCCAGAAATAAATTGTATACCAATTGACATATTTCAACTAACAGATGCTGCCCTCGATGTGCTCACCAAATTGTGCCAGGTAATCTGGAGGTCAACCACTTGGCTAACTGACTGGAAGCAATCTATATTTGTTTCCATTCCAAAGAAAAGTGACTCAACAAAGTGTGGAAATTATCGCACAATATCATTGGTATCACACCCAAGCAAGATTCTACTGAAGATTATCCAAAAACAGCTGGAAGAGCACAACAACAGAGAACTGCCAGAATTCCAGGCTGGGCTTAGAAGGGGTCATGGTAGTAGGAATACTGTAGCTAATTTTAGATGGATCTTAGCTGAAAGTAGGGAGTTGCAGAGGAATGTCTATCAGTGTTTCATTGACTATGCTAAAGCATTTGACTGTGTGGATCATAACAAACTGTGGCTGACTCTGAGAAGAATGGGAATTCCAGAACACTTGATCATGCTAATGTGAAACCTATACTTGAACCAGGAGGCAGTCATCAGAACAGAGCAAGGAAACACTGTATGGTTCAAAATTGGGAAGGGTATACATCAGGGATGTGTCCTATCTCCATATCTTTTCAACCTATATGCAGAACAAATTATCCAGGAGGCTGGGCTGTATGAGAAGTGTGGCATCAGGATTGGTGGAATATTCATCAACAATCTGCATTATGCAGATGACATAACCCTGCTTGCTGAAACTGAGGAGGACCTGGAGTGCTTGCTGCAGAGGGTCAAGGACTACAGCCTTCAATATGGATTGAAAGTCAATATCAAGAAGACAAAGATTCTCACCACTAGGCCAATTGGCAGCATCATAATGGTTGGTGAAGAGATTGAGATTGTTAACAGCTTTAGTTTGCTTGGCTTCACAGTCAATCTCGTGGCACCAGGACCCAGGAAATTAAAAGATGTATTGCAGTGGGAAAGTGTGCTGTAAGGGACCTCTCCAAAGTATTGAAGAGCAGTGGTGTTACTCTGGAGACTAAGGTGCGCCTGATACAGGCTATAGTCTTTGCAGTCACTTGCTGTGCATCAGAGAGCTGGACAATGATGAAGGAGGATAGAAGAAGAATTGATTCCTTTGAGCTTTGGTGCTGGAGAAGAGTTTTGAGTGTGCCATGGACTGCTAAGAAAACAAAGAGCTTCATCCTAGAAAAGGTTAAACCAGGCTGCTCCTTGGAGGCAAGGATTCTGAGGCTTCATCTGACATACTTTGGACATGTTGCAAGGAGGGACCAGTCTTTGGAGAAAGATGTCCTGCTTGGGAGGGTGGAGGGACAGCACAGCAAGGGAAGACCCTCTATGAGGTGGATTGATTCAGTGACTGGCGTATTGGAGGAAAATGTGTCAGAGACAGTGAGATTGGCACAGGACAGAGCAAGGTTTAGGGCTATTGTACAGAAGTTCTCTGTGAGTCGCAGGTGACTCAATGGCACATAACAACAACAACAATGCCTATGTATACACATGTATGTTGTTGTTGTTGTTGTTGTTGTT